GAAAATAGGCAGGCTCGTAAACAGCTTGCCGTCTGAGATCCTTATCCTATCGCCGTGTTGTGACTCTATCAATTTCAAGTCCATTCTGTTCCCTTTTGGCACAAGAAATTTGTCAGTGACTGTCTTATAATGATAAAGTTTAGATATTTTAATATGAGACCTACATCAAAGCTGTCATCCGTCATGTGGAGCGAAGATTTAGTTCCCCCTCCCCAAGATGTATGATTCAATTATTCGCCTTCAGCTAGGGAAATCCACACAGGGTCTGCCAACTTTGATTTGTAGCGTTCCTTCTTGAAAGAAAAAAAGTGCCTTGAGCAGTTTTTCCTTCTGATTCGGCTCTTGGTTTGCCGTGGGCATTCCGAAGAACTGTCTAGAAATTCTGGATTTCGCACCAAGCAATTTTGCATGTTGCGAGAAACGTTATGTTTTTCCATTTGTGGGTTGACCAGTCAGTCTTGTTTTTCAGCCTCTTGCTGCTCTCAATGAAGAGGAATGTGTCTCGGGGGTGTGGGCGGAAGAAATAGATGTCCTGTTTTTGTCTTTGGACTACACTGGCCTTTAACGAAATATCACACCTGCCAAAACATTTGGAGGGTTTTTCCATTTGGGGACAAATTCAAGATGTTTATGGAGAATAACATGAAAGCAGAATTGTACAAAAAAGGAGGATGCGTGTTTTGCAGCTAATGTCAGACTTCATTCAAAATGTAGCATTTGGTGGACTGTTGTCGTAGATATATCCAAACCCTGTTTTAATTTTGTTGTATCGCATGTCCTTGTTTGGATTTGCGTTTTTTGTTTTTGTTTTGACTTGAATTTGATTGTGTGTTATTTGTTTTGTGTTGTTGTGGCTTTTTTAATCTGCCTGTCATTTTCCTGACAATTTCTGAAGATCTCTTGGTTGAATTGAACAAAATTGGGTGCATTGACACAATCGACAGGCATGGCAATGCACTCAGTATTATTTTAGATGGTCCCTCCCATAAATCTTTTCCTTTGCACTTGGCATGTTGTGCATTTCAAAATTCTCTGTAGATGCCAGGCATTCAATGTATGGATTTTCATTCTTCATTTTGAAAAGAGAAAATTGTTTATTTTCTGCCTGGTTCTTCTCAGAGAGGTCACCCACACGAACATTCCAGAATCCCGAACATTTTTTTTTTACATCTTGTCTCATTCCCGGCTTCTCATTAAGATTTTTTCAGTGGCAGTTAAGTCAAGTGTTTAATGCTTGTTATCAATTTGAATAGCTGGTCCCCCCAGCTTGAAGGGTACCGATGACAGGCCACTTGCGGCCTAATTGGACGACTTTCTTTTTTAGGGGTAGCGGGGCTGTCAGGAATTGGGTCTTTTGCTCCAGTTGATCATGGGGGAGAGATTGCGAAGCGTGTTGAAATGTTTGAATTGGTCCCCGTTTGACACTGACCTGAAAGTTGCATCAGTGATGGCACTGATAGAGGACGGTGGGCAAGAATTTAAAGGTGGCTGGCCTTGAATTGGGTTTCCTAGTAGAAGTAGCTGATGCTTGCGTAGGGGGTTGCCAACAGAAGGGTGCCCTCTGTGGTAGCACTGAGAGAGGCTAGGCTTTGACTTTCAACACATCGGGCAATTTTTGAGTGACAACCATTCATTGAAACCCAGTCAGTTTTCCCTGACAACCTGTGCACAGAATACATTTATTTCCTGGATTACCAGGCCAAATCAACCATCAGTTAACAAATGGCCATCACTGCAACTTGCCCGTGGCTATCATGCACCTGCCATGCACCTGTAGTCTGGTTCCCTGCCCTAGCAAGGTTCCACAAGCGTCTCTTATATTAGGTCAGGTAATCACTGTGGTCCAAAATAATGCATGATGCTCTATTTGAAGATTTGTGATGTTAGATAAAAGTTGGCATCATGAAACATCGTGCAAAGTGGCAGCAAGTGTTCTAAACCTCGAGAAGAAAAAATAGCATTAATTTTACCCCCCCGAGGAAAAATGATTTCAGACATTTAAATATCAAACGTTTTAGAAGTTTTAGGATAAAACTAAATAGCAATTTTGTACCTCAAGACTTAATAAAAAACAAAGATAATTAACAGATACGGTACATTTCTAAAAACTTCAACTGCAACGGCAAAACATCACAAAAGCAGCGAATCATAGTATCACAAGGGGGTGCACTTCAGTTAGACAAGAGAGGGCGCTATTTAACATGGCAATGAAATGTTCAGCAATTAATTTTGCTATACCGAATGACTGCTGTACTGAACATTAAGCGTGGACCGCATCATGTTCGTTATAGCGGCGTTCCACTGTAGATTGTGTGTGTTTGGTTACAAATGCATTGCCATATTTTCACTGCAAACAGTGATAGTTTGCACCATTTGGTTTGGGTTGGTGGCGTGTTTCTCACCACCTTCAGTCTTTGCCTTGTTTTGATTTTTTTTATTTTTCTGAATTCTTCACTTCCACGAATTTCCCAAAGTCCTGATCAAGCGTGACAAGGTGTGAAGGGGCTTGGCCTGGATTTTAATAATCCCTGGTTGGCCCGAGTAAGAGTTAAATGACATTTACAGTTGAGAGTGATATCAATGAACGTTCTTATAATTCATGTAGTACTCAGCTTTTTTGTACGGGAAAGCTCTTTGTAATGAAGGTCTCGACATAAATTGCATGTGTATGTTTCAGAGGGGTAGACCAGAATTCATTAATGACGACGACAGATTGGTTTGAGGAGGTAACTGGAAGGTCGGCCCGCCATGGTCATTAACTCGGGTCTTAAGAACTGCTCCGGAATTGATGACCTTGAAAGCCATTGGAAGAAATTCTCCTTGAGGGCGATCATGACCGTGGTATCAGCGGCATTGACCCAGTAACCCATATAGAAAGCCCCCCATCCTGACCTCCAAGTCTCAAGTTGTCGTTGGATCCACGGAGTGACAAGTGGACATTGAATAACATTCTGGTTTGAAGTAGCTCAAACTACTCGTTCACTCGGCATTATTAGGTGAAGTCGCAGCCCATAAGCTCTCACTTTCGATGAAGCATTTCCAATTCCCTAAATGTTATAGTCCCTTGAGGCTCTGTTTCTGCTGCCGAAACATGGGAGGGTTTGGTTGGAGTAAATTTTCAAGCATGCTTTCAGAGCCTCAGATAAAGCTGAAGCCGGGAATGAAGACAAGATTTGGAAAATGGCTTAAACTGTAGCTAGCCGTGATTGAACAGCTCCTGTTTTTGTTCAGATTTTTTGGTGACGTTTCTTTTTCTTATTTGTTTGCAAGATTTGGTTAGAAGAGCGTGAATCTGTGAATCATGAACAAAGTTCATGTGTTCTGCTCCGTGCATGAATACAAAGTTTTTTCCTACTTGGGTTCATAAGGTAATACGAACCTTAAAAGGTCATGGGTTCTGTGTATGAACATAAAGTTTTTTTTACTACTTAGGTTAGGTTTGCTGTCTAATTGATTACAACTTCATAACAAATTTAGACATACGTACTGTTATGTTCGTAGTAAAGGAGAAAAAGCCAGGAGACATGATAACGTTGTTTGCATGGATCGTGTTGCAAAAGCACCATAATGAACATCGACAGTTTTTTGTTTGTTTTTTCAAGACTACATGCATGACTACAGATATACAGATACATGTAGAAGCATGCTGGCATACTGCAAGAATTTGTAGTTTGTACAGTGTAATGTACATTGCCTGTAATGTTGAGTATGATTACCATCTTGCCTGATAATCCGCAAGATTTTTTTATCATTAATTAATTGAATTTTTTTTTTTAGGAAATACAAACCTTTGCTAGACTTTCCAATTTCATGGGTCTGGAAGTAAACATGCTCACTGGTACATGTGCATGGATGCACCACACGACCGCCCACTAATTGATCAAGCGCACTCTGGGCAAGAAACATGCCTCTCCATTTACTTCGGACTCAGAGTAGCGTGCTGCGGCCAGGAAATTAAGCGCTCCCCTGGCAACGATCGTACCACCCCGGAATTCTCCTTCAGTCCAACTCCCCATTTCTTTTGAATTTTCTTTTCCCTCGGCCGGGTTTTGCCAGATGAAAAGATATCCCTGCGATGCTGCAGCGTCTTTTTTTTTTGGGGGGGGAGATGTGGACAATGAAGCAGATTTGTCATGTGCAAACTGCGCAAACAGTAATTGAACAGTTGACCCAGAGATTTCCTCGCTTTTCTCTCTCTCTCTCTCTGTGTCTCTGTCTCTACCCTACTGATGCCCGGCCTCTTTTGCTCTTCACAAGCCCACTAAGATTTTTCTTTTTCTCAGCACTTGAGCACTTTTCAACAAAGCTGTCCAGGTGGACTGCAATTTGTCGTCGGCGGGGCTGTAAACATGACCCTTGCTTGGTGCTCAGCCGACAAAATTAACTTCTGCGTTTGATAGTGCCGGGTGCCCTAACGAGAATCGTATTGATTTGCGGTATTCTGCCCCCTTTCACTTGGTGAGAAATATTTGAAGTGGAGTACATTATTTGCTACTGCTGGTGGAGGACAACCGTGATAAGATCGCTGTGCGTATGCCAGGCCGTGCCTCAATTATCAATTATTGTCCTACTTATGTCAAGTGCCAAAATTCAACCGAAAGTCCAGTGACCTGTGACGAATGCTAGAATTGGAGCGATAATGAGGACAAATATTAAAAGGGTCAAATAGAATTAACCAATCTGGATAAGTTTCTGATGTTAGATTTTAAAAAGTTAGGATAAAGAGAACAGGAATGGCAAATTATGTTTTGGTTATCATTTAAAAAACAAACAAACAAACAAAAAATGATAAACAGTGACTTCCAGTTACCTGCAACTTCAAAGCAAAGCCATTAGTTTAGTCACCCAATATGCAGCTGATGGCATTAACATGCTAATCTGGTCACTTGACAGAAGGTAGCCAATCAGTGCCTTCTGCCTGGACTCTGAGATGATTTTCAGACATGAAATACACAGTTTCGAGGGGAAATGTGCAAAACTGAAAACTGAAGGATTCTTACGTCGCCTGATTCCCGGCCGAGATTTTTACTCCAAGATGTCACTTTTCCTGACTCCCGTCTGGTAAAACCTCAAGTACAAGAAATCAAACTGTCCTCTTGTGTTGCAGTTGGACCATCTTTAGAGAAAATAGTTGATGCAGTTCACTGGTAAATTGTATATCCACGCGATTCCTCCTTGCAGTGAGACCTCCGATTTGCACTGGATCTAGGAGTTAAGTGCCCGCATCACTCATCCATTGCCTGTGATATATGGGCAAAAAGACAGCCCCCCCCCCGGAATCTCCAAATGGAACATCTGAGCTGGGACTTGCCAGTAGAGTGCTTGCTTGCTCTGGAAGGTCCCATTTTCTTAGAGGGTATTATTTCATTTTCCAGTATACATCATGAAGCAGTGATGTTCTTGTCCGGATCTGAAATCTGGGCATAGCTTTCTGTGACTGGCTACAAAGTGAGGAGTACGGACTCCACTAGAATGATGTAAGGATTTCCTTGGCATTTTGATGGTAATGGAACAGCATTCATGTACATATATGATGTCATCGCCTGTGTGGCAAATGATTGTACACCTTGACATTACATGAGTCACATGACCCATGTCCACTGAACCATGAAGTTCTGTGATTAATCACTTGAGGCAAGATCAAGTGGTACATGTACATTCCCGGTAATAGTCCATGACAATTCCTCGCGTTGATACTTTTTTTTTTACTACAGCCACATGACTCAAGATGTTTAATGACTCACCCATTTCAACAGCCTTCATATAATGTTTATAGAATAGTTGTAAGCATGCTTTCACCACCAAGTGGGAGCGTGTAGGGGCAAAGGGGGCATGTGACCTAGCGGTTGGGGTTTGTAGCTTGCGATCTTGGGGTCGGAGGTTTGAATCCAGCTGGTGGCAGCATGTTGGAATCTTGAGCAAGTCACTTTATCCCTACGTGCTTTTCTCTACCCAGGAGTAAATGGGTACATGTACCTGTGAGGGGTAGATTGTATAGCCCTTTGTGCTTGATATGGCAGCATTGGGCTAGTATACTCCCCAGGGAGCTGAGATGGTTTCAGGAATGTTCAGATGTTGTGATCCCAATGTGAAGGGGTAATAAAAATATATCTGCCGGTAAGCGCTTTGTATCCTGTGTAGTTTGCCACAGTACAAATACAATTATTAGTATTATTTAGATGTGTATACAAGGAAAACAAACGTTTCATCAAAATTGTGACCAGTTCTGCAAAAAAGGGTAATAAGTCACGCAAGGCCAAAACATGTAATGGCCTGTTCTATTTGGAGAGGGCAAAATTTCTTTAAAAAAGTGATTTTGTGTTTTTTCCTTTAATACTTTCTATAATATTTATATTTTCAGAATTTGTGACTACAAACATGGATGCTGATGAATAAAGATGAAAAATTGATCATTCAGTAGAAAACCCTACATAGCATTGTGTTTCCAAGCGCTACAATTCAAGAGCTTTTTCTCAAAAAGTGCTTTTATTGAATCCAAAAATGTGGATATACAAATGTCTATATATCTCTGGAATGCAGCGCACTCCGGGGGTCATTCATATATCACATTGTAGCTTTTGATGTACAGAATCCAGCCGTATCAAAAGCTCATAACCTGAATCTGGCGACTTATTACCCATTTTTGTTAGAGCTGGTCACAATTAGGTTTTCAAGCAAGCGACGCAGTGAGCAGTGAACTCACAGATGGTTCGTAACATGGAGGATGCAGAATGCAATTGGTAAACAATTAATTTGGATGTTGTTCAAGCCTGAAGAAGCATTGTATAAAATTAAATTTGGATTATTGAGGTAGTGCCTATTTTTGGCTTCTCCCCATGGACTAGAATTGATCTCTCAGTATTTGTTCAGAGAGAGGCGTTTATTTGGCCAAGTTCCTTCCTATAGAAAGTGGTATGACATGTTTTTTGCCATTTGTAAAAGCAGGAGCTATTGATCCCATTTTGTGATCATGGATATGTTTTAAACTCTCAGGGTTTGGGTATTTGTTTTGGTGCCTTTATTGACTTTCGGCAAGCAGTGGGTATTACACCGTCAGTGCCAGAATTGATTTTTGGGGCAGACAGTGTTTATGCCCAAATTTAAAAATTTATGAAAAAAAAAAGACTTGTTTTTGCAAGTGAAGCTTTGTGTATGTCCGGTCCGTGGAGATGTCTTGTTTATTCAGCAGTCTGGTTCTGCAGCATGCTTGTTTGTGAACGGAATCATGTTAATGTGAAGGTACTCGTACTTCTCTGCCTGTCAGTTGGCTGTTTCCCACCCCTACCTCAGAGTCTTGTTCTTGAGCAAGACATTTATCATCATTGGTCCCTTTTCTCTCACAGTGAGAAAATGCGTAGCAGTTTGTACCTGGATGTTCACGTTTCACAGACAGGGCTTTGGTTTTAAAGGGGCAGAGGGCTGTTCCTTGCTCGTATTTATACAAGGGGTTTGGTTTCACTACCAAAGGATGCCTCACTTAACTATGTTCGAGTGTTGTTTTCCAACCTCGCGAAAGCTGCGCATTGCAATTTGCTTTGCTGTGGGTTCCATGCACAAGCGCCCCCCTCACTTGTGAACAAACCGAAAGGCTGTGCCGACCGCCCGGTCCCCCGCTTCCAGTAATTAGAGTTTTGCAATGCTGAAAAGGACCAGGAATGGTCTACCATATTCACCTCCCAATGGTAAGGTATGCTTTCATTGCTTAATGTCAGCCACTGAAGTGCAACTGTCACCCAAAGGGGAGTCTTTTTATAACTCGGTACACATAACAAAGCTCTCTCTTCCATTCACATGGAGCTCATTGATATTCATTTGTGCACAAAGTCAGCCATAGTTATCTAGAAAAGTCCGACATTTGTCTTCTAGCCTGAATGCTGGGTATAAATTTAAAGTCAGAACTGTGGTCAATTACAGTACATAAATATTTCTTGACTGCGTTGTGGAAACTTGCCTTAACCACTTCCTGCCAGGGACTCCGGAATCGGAGACGTATGTTTTATATGCGTGGCCGGGGTCTCCGAACTCGGACAATGGAAACAGGGTCCTGTAACAAAAGACCGTATTCCAAACAAAAGACCAGGCTGCTGGGCATTACCAACATTTTTCACTCTCAAAAGTGGTGATAATTCAGCCTTGTTTTGAAACCGTATACCAGGGTTCGGGGCATTGAGAGCGAGCGGATTACCACCGGGGACAAAAGCGCTCCACCACCGCAGCCATGAGCCACACAGCACCGCTGCATGCTAATCTGGCCCCTATTTAAAAGAGGTCAGCAGTGCACTGAGCCAGGTTATATAACACCGCGCAATCTGGGCTCTGTTTACAAGGCTGCAGGCCTGGCTGAAATACTTGGGCGTCAATCAAGGTCACCTGTCAACTTAGAGTAGTGCCTAAAGATTACTTCGTGCGGCTATAAACGACCGTTAAATGAAATGATGAATTTTTGAAGGATTTTGAAAACAGAAAAAATGATAGTCATGCCTGCCCAGCATCATCAACATTGAAAAATACTGCGGCATGAAGTGGTTAACCTGCCATTTTGGGACACTGTTGTTTTTGTTGTTGTTGTTTTTTCTTTGCTGTTCACATCTGCGGCCTTGGTATTGATTCACAGTCCTCACCTTGGTTTTCCTCCCTCCCCTAAAGTTGTTACTGATCGTCTCCTCTGCTCAGGTTTCTCTAGGGTTCAAGCTACAGTGCCTAGGGCACTGTTGAGGACTCATTACCAGAAATGCTTCCTGGTAATTGGTTATATGGCATAAAGCATTTAATCATGCCTTTGTTTTGTTGCGGTTTCTATTTTCCCTGATCAGAATTCACCTGCTGAGCAAGTCATCCTCGCAGACATCACCAGAACGTTCACAGCCCACGAGAAGTTCCAGAACGAGAGCGAGGGAGGGCAGGATGCCATGTACAAAATCAGCAAGGTCAGTGGGAAAAGCAGTCAGATTGAAGACATTTTCAGTCATTTTTTTCATTCATTTCAAGTCATTTCTGGGCTCCTCCCAAACTTTGAAACATTGAACACCTCTGACTGATGAGCTTGGCTGTTTGTAAGACCCAACTGTGCACAGATTTACCATGTGAGAAGAACATCAGTTGCCATAGTTACTGTTGGTTCCCCTATACAGTTGGACTCTTCCAAGTCCACTGAGTGTGGCAGCTATAAGCAAGTACCGGTAGAAGAAGCTAAAATAGTTGGTCATGGGTTGCCGTGGCAATGATGTCCATCCCTCATGATAGAGCATCTTGGCCCTGATTGGTTAAAGCACTCTGATGCAGTTATCAAAAACATACACATGTACACATAATACCCTGGTACCCAGCCCTTGCCAGCATTTTTCCATATGGGCAATGTATACATACATTGTACATGTACACTCTGGACAGGAAAAGCACAGCGTCCCAATCTACCATAACAAACGTGGCTCTACCGTCACGCTTGAGGAGAGAGAATTTCCATCCCACCGTAGGAATCCTCCCAGCCCTCGCCCATGTCCACCACAGATGTTTTCATCATAATTCCCTCGGGGCGTGACATATATGTGAAGGTTGTCCAGAACTGGGTCGTTCAATACTGGCACCTTGCCTGTATTTGTTTGTGATATCTCGGCCTCCCCTCCTCCCAGGGATTTTCCAAGGGAGGGGTGTCTGGTTGGTTGTTACTCATTTTAGTAGTATCCCTTCTCCACTCATATCGATAGCTAGATCCTCAGTTCCCAAAGCATTTTATTTTGACACTTCCAAAATGCAAACTGTATTCAATGAATGACATCATCACAAAATGGAGAAATTTCATGGTTGCTGGCCTTGTGTTACTTTGGAATCGGATTCAATACAGGGTACATGTAGGTGAAATCGGTTTGAAACTAGCACATTCTCATTCTACGTACTTTCAACTTTGTCTAATCTTTGTCCTTGTGACTTTGTGAGGCATTTCTCCACAAGCCTCAGCTTCCTGAAAATACCCAATTGCCTTCCAAGTTCCAACTCAAAGTTTTCTTGTGTGTCCATGCATAATTTTCTTTTTATTAGCGTTAGATGTTCATTTGAATTTTTAAATAATAATTTACTCATGTGTATATTTATTGTATTTGAAAGCGTGGAGATTATACCTTCTTGAAGCTTTGAAAACAAGCTTTGAAGGATCATTCCTCAGGAAAAGATGTGATAAAACTATTTGTTTTATTTTCAAGAGTGTTTGGAATTGACACAATTTGTAAAAAATAATTCCTGTTCTTACAGTCTTGTATAAAAAAGTTTTCCTCTAAAGGAACATTCTCACCTCAAAAATGTTATGCAATCCTTCTGTCCATTTCCTGCTCAGAAATTAAAAATTATTGGCCCGTTCAGTTGTTGAATGTTTGATAGAGGGAATAAAGCATCTTTGCATTTGTCGCCGGCATGGCCCTGCGGATTTTGTGCAGTGTAAAACTGCCCACGGAAGGGATGGACTTGTACCCTGTTGGCATGCCTGTGTATTGCTCTATGCTTGACCTGTTTCCGGGGTAGAAAAATGGGAAGAATCGACGGAGCGTGTTGTGAAAGTCTTGGGAATGTGCTCTGGCACTCATAATGTTTGCCTGTTTGATTTGGGAATGTGGACGTGCCTGGACTTCAACACAAGCTCATTTAAATTTGCTCAACACTTGCTAAATGTGACATGTAGTTCCGTTCACCGATGGGCATTTTGAATGCAAGAGAGAATAACCATTTGCACAGAGTGGTAAGAGTGAATGGATAGCCTGTCTGTCGTCTTTACAGCAGAGCTACATATTGGATACTTTGGACCAAATACCCCCATATTAGGCTTAAGTGAGCAGTGAGCAGTGTTTACAATCCCCCCCCCCACTGTCAATTTTGATACAAGTTTCAGAGTGATTCCGGGAAGAAAATTTGTAAGCTGAAAGTTTTGGTAGTTACAGTCAATAAAAGTTGTGGAATGTGCATTGTTTGTATGTGTATGTGCATGTATATTAGGATCAGTTTTCAGATAATAACGAATAATTCTTCTGCCTGGTAATTAGATTTCTGCCTGGTGATGAGAATTGCAAGTTACATAAATTTGCTAAGGTTGGCCGTATAAACAGATCACCAGCGAGCCAGTTCGGTATTCCAACAGCCCATGCCCAGTGTGAGGCTGTATGGGAACGGCTGTGCCGTTGTGTGACAACCTGTCCTCTGAGCACAGCCATGCACAGACTTTCGCATGTGCTTTATTCCCAAAGGACCTTGGCTTTTTGAAATGGCAACTGGCTTATTGAAGAATGGTGATAAATGTTGACAAGAGAAACTTTCATGGTGCCACATTACACTCTGAAGGTAGCAAATTTGGCATTAATTTCTCTGACAGACAATATTCAGAATTCGACCTTCAAAATTATCACAGAAAATTCAAATTTAATTGTTAAATCATATCAGCTGGATGACTTTATTTCAAATTTGGTTTTATCATGAGTAAACCTTTTTTTTCTTTCTGAAGCAGTAGTTTTATTTCTGGGATCAGTCTTGTCAAAAAGTCTGGGGAAGGAACGTTAATTTTGCAGGGCCGAACCCTGCGCAGAGAGTGCAATCAGGATCAGCCTCCCCATTTTCACCACAATAAAGGCAGATCTGATCACAGGAATAACCCAAGAGAGGTGTTTCACGAGTGCTCGAAGCTAATGCCGTTCATTGGCATTTGTGAAAAACGTCTGTATCTAATAATGTCTGGTGCGCAGAATGTGAAGGTTGCATTATTCTCAATGGTGGATAAATTGGCAACCTTCAAGCAGTGCATGTCATCTGAAGTTGAAGTTGGTAATATTTCTTTAGAACTGAACCCATAGCAGAGAGAAGGTAGATGACTGCATTTCACCTGTCATTAGCACCGAAGGTGTTCTACTACATGCAATCTCTACTTGTTCATGTACATGTGTTTCCTGGATATAGATTTCTGTATATAGATTTCTGACAGTCTACAAGATACTTTCGTTGAATCTACAGGGTGTTATTTCTGATACCCACTAGAGACTCTGCAAGGTTCTCATGTATCAGGCTTCAGTTAGTTACTGGAACCACTCAGGTTTCTGAAAAGTAAATTTTGACAGAACTGAACCCTAAAAGGAGCCAAGTGTGTTTGAACTACATCACTGCTGGGGAGGGTGAGGGGGACTTTAGGGTTAAAGACTGTTAACTGCTACACAACAAAGAAACTGAGGAGGGAGCGCAGACAGATTGATGGCAGCGCAGTGACGGATTTCAATCCACGTGAAAAGTTGAAAAAGGGGATCAGAAAGGGGAAAAAGTTGTTATCTCCTCTTTTCATTGGTTAATCTGTGTACCGTAGGTGCCTTCCTTCTTGTACGTAATGACATATCTTCAGTTCGCAGTACATAAAGCCTTGATCTTTGCCTTTGCTTATTTTCCAGAAAAACAAAACAGGATAAAAATAAAAACAAAAATACTTGCCAGATAGAGAAAGTTGTTCACACTTGATAAATCGGCACGGTGCTGGAAAAGGTTTACAGGTTGGCTTGGGAAATGGACATGATGTTGAATTTGGGGAGAGATAATTGGACTTTGGGAAAGGAAAAGTACGCGTACACCGAAATTTGATCTGGAATGCAAAGTTGGGTACTTGGTCATGTGGAAGGACATAAATGGAAGTATGTACAAGGAGTGCTGTGTGGCCTTTGTGATCTGGCACGATAAATCAAGAGCCTATTGGAATTGAGCAGATAATGGGATCAAGTTAAGTCGGTGGGGTTACAGGGGTTTTGTCCTCGGGCAGGACGCTTTACGTAAAGCTGCTTTTGTCCGCTCACGTTTAGATTGGTACCTGTGAGGGTAGTTAAGCTGCCCAAAACAGATCTCTTCAATGATTTAGTACTAGAATGGTTCTTTGAGAAACTGTTTTCTCTTTTAGACTTGTACTGGTACATGTATATGTATGTGTAAAGTTCCTTCAAATGATCATTTCTACATACAAAAGGCAGCAGAGTTGACCTACACAGGGTTGGGTTCCCCTGGCCTGGAAAAGTCACGAAAAAGTCTTGGAAATTTGCTTTCATTTCCCAGGCCTGCAAAAGTCATGGAATTGTGTAAAAATGACTAAAGTCATTGCAGAATCATGGAATTTTTCAAACATTGTATTGTCGGAAATAAGTGCTTAAAATGCCTGATTTTATTCGCAACTTTAAAAGTCCAGACAGTTCAAGAAATTGCATTATTAAGTCATGGATTTTCATCATTTGGTCATGGAAAAGTCATGAGAAACTCACGGAATTTAATTGTCCTTTAGATGCAGGAACCCTGCTACAGTTGTACCTGTCCTGTAGTTTTTGAAAGGGTGCCTCTAGAATCATTCTGGAGATGTCTGAGTGAAGGACAGTGTAGCGCAGGATGTCAGATCTCACCATCTTAATTTTTGGGGGTCAAACGAGGGAAATTACTAGGCATAAAAACAGCATGTGCACGAAGAGTGAGAGATATCCCCCCACAGATAAAAGGTGCCAGGTGGTACCCACATGTAGCTGATGAATGGAGCTTTTGATGTTAACTTGATTTTCTTTTCTGTCCTCGTTATCTCAGGCCTACTCCGTGTACGATTCAGAAGTTGGTTACTGCCAGGGTTTGTCCTTTCTTGCTGCTGTTCTCTGGTTACATGTAAGTCATATCGCTTTTTCTAACTATCAGGGGTGAGATTTCTCAGCTTTTTAGCTGATTTCAGCTTTTTTTGTTTTGGATTTCAGCTTTTTTTCCCTCACTGGCTGTGTACAAAAGTATAGGAGATTTTCACAGTTCAGCTTCTTGATGCTTTTTTCAGCTGTTTTCAGTTATTTTTATCATTGGTCAATCTCACCCCTGAACTATGGTCTGTGCCGGCCCCACAGCAGAATTCCCTTTCCCTTTAATACGACTGTCTGTGTCTGTCCTTTGCTTTGAGCGTTCCAGTTTTTTTGTTAAATGATGGATGTGAATAATGAAAAAGTAAACTAGAGTGGTTCTGGGACCCAGCATTTCAATGTTCCAGACTTGGCACAGAGGGATAGGAAGTCAAGGTACTTGACCCATTAGTTTACCTTCATGATAATTGCCTTGTAAAGTACATAGCATACTTGTACATGTAAGTTGGTAACCAAAGTGCAGCGGTTGTTCTGATCAAACACTATGTGCTAGGAGACGGACTGGTCTTAGCTATTCCTGACTGGCCTCCTGAGGTTTGTGGTGTCACTGGTTTTCAGTATGCACAGTTGCACACATGTACATGTACAGAGTATATTGAAATGTAGAACAGGGAACCAGTATTGTGAGTTGGTGTTGTGAGGAATGACATTAGTTGGACAGGAGAACTTTGTATTAACATTAGCGTGCCATTGTAAGGTATTGAAGGTATCGTGACCCACAAAGTGACCACAAGTCCTTGGTCAAACCTGCAAGTTGTTTCGTTTGATGAGAGAACGGTGAACGACTATCGTGCGGAGAACCAGTGCATGGATGTCAGAGACAGCTTTCTTTTTTTTTTTTCTCACCGTTCTGCATTTTATTTTTCAGATGCCGGAGGAGCAGGCCTTCGCCGTGCTGACCAAGATCATGTATGACTATCGCCTGCGCGACCTGTTCATGAACAGCTTCGCCGAGCTCCACATCAAGTTCTACCAGCTGGAACGGCTTATAGAGGTCAGGGGTCAAGCCCTTAAAACTCACTAACCTTCCCAGCTAGCTACTCATTTCTGTGCTCAGTCAAATTAATATCACTGTCAAGTACATCTCAGTGAGGAGTATGAATAATATTACTCAAATATGAGGTCAAGTGTCACAACTCCATCATTATCGTTGCGTACATTTCTGTGAACACCAGTGCGAAACAAGTTCTCATGTCAGAATGGAAAGCACATCAGTCAGCAACATTGAAGCAGTGAATACCAGTATGGGTTGTAGTATTCAATAGTTTTTATGTTGTTGCTACGTGTAAACAGAATGAATTTTTATTTCATCCTTGCTGAAAGCTAAATTTCTCTCAAAAAGATTTTAAAATTTTCCAAACTTAAAGAGTGAAATACTTGCTTGAAAAAAAATGCTCTCAGTCAAAGGATACTGAAAAAGTGTAAAGGGTCGTGGTTAACATGTACACGTACATGTCTGAACAATGTTTTTTTCTTTCAAGGTGTTCCACACTTGCCCTAAGATTTCGTTCAATAAGGCTTGACAGGAGGGGAGCATGGAACCATTTGGGGAGGTGTTTGTAACATGAAGTCGCTGCCGGAGATCAGACAGACAGGTGGCGTGGGCATGAATGCGGCTCCTTGAGCCGAGAGGAATGTAACGTCATTCCACGATTGTCTGGGGATATTAAGCTTGGGGATTGGTGATGAGCAGTGACGGGACTTTGGACAAGGAGGGGCAAACTCTGGGAGCTATGCAGAAGAGTTTTAGTCCCAAAGCCCTGAAGTCAACAAACTAATGCTCACTGTGCACGCACAACTCAAGTTAATGACTCTTGATGAGATTACTGAAATTGAGTTGGTAAATGAGAGAAGAAAGGTGTCAGACTTTTTGGTTTCCGGCTGAATGTTTATAATGTGGCTCACTTCACAAGACTGTTGTAACCAGACTAGCCTCTTAGGCTATGCTCGAATCAACTGTCTGCGGCTGTGATTAATACATTTATCTGTGGCAAGTAGCCACAGCCGCTAGCCAATGGCTTCCACACACACACACAAATTATTACCACGCATGCGGAAATAGCCTCAGTGGAAAGCCCGTGCTGGCAAAATGGTGGCACACACTACAGTATTCTCCAACCTGCTGAAGTAGCCTGGCGTCCCACCAAGTTTTACTTGTCTTCCACCTTCTTTAAAAAGCAGCCACCAAGTTTTTACAATCTGGCCATCGTTTTAAAATATTGGGTGCTACATGGACATAAACATGAACATTTCATCTCAGACAACATCAACGGTATCTTGATTGAAAGCAGCTGTCCAGGAAGGTCTAAAATTGCTTCCAATTTTTCTGCTGAAGATCAACCTCTCAATGCCAAGAAAAGCACTGAACCTTAATCACCCCTGAATTTTTTGTTGTTGAGGGAGTGGGATCTGAAGAGGGCCCTGTACCCATTCTAGCCCCTCCACTTGAAATCATTTACAAGACCCTGCCTGGTTGAAATTCAGAACTTGGTGAACGCTGCACCAGCAGTCCAACTTCCACAGTCTAAGTTGCCCATATCTCTATGCACAAACTTCTGCCATACATTGCACTCTCTGTTGCTGATTTAACTAGTAAAAACACTGCTTTGAAAGTACTCAAACCCCAGGGTTTTGTGGTGTTTGTATGCTTACATAGCTATCAAACTGGAAATAACATTCATCCCTGGTTTCAGGTGGTAGCAAGGGCTAATTGGAGGAGGGAGCAGGAAGGGGCAACCTCAGCTTGAGCTCTAGCCTTTCCTTCCCCTCTCCCCCCCAAAAAAGAAAAAAAAAATTGTTACAAATTAACAAAGGGCTGTCTTTGTCTTTCATTTGTTTTTTTCTGCAAAAGCCCTAAAATGTAGCGTTACCCCTATGAAAGGCCATAAAAATCCCTGAATTTTTGGTCCCCTCCTGTCACAAAACAAGTTCCCCCCCTAAAAAGTGTTCTGGATCCTCCCATGAGTGGTTGGTTTATTGCATGCACGTACATGGTTCAAAAAAGTAAGCTGCTTTCAAAACGGCTTCAGCAACATGGAAATGACGTATCACGAGACTTCAGTCTAAAGCTTTATCTCAGTTGGCAGAGGAAACAAAAGTTCTGGGAGGTGTTTCTTTTGTTTTGATCACAGGACAACATTCCAGATCTGTTTGCCCACTTTGTACATATCGGCATCGAGGCTCACATGTACGCGTCGCAGTGGTTCCTGACGCTGTACACGGCACGCTTCCCCCTCTACACAGTGTTCCACATCATGGATCTCTTCCTGATGGAGGTAAGGTATCACCATGGTCAGACAAGCACTGCAAACAGACAGTGAGTCAGACAGACAAAGAGTGGAATCATTTACATTTATAAGCACAAATTTGGAGACTGGTTTCCAAGGAAACACAACAGTAAACCAGACAAAGCTGTTTGAATAAGTTCCCAAATGTCTACTGCAGCCCATGATTTTGCTTTGCAGGATTGTTGCTAGATATAATTTGGAAATGTCTGTATTTGAGTTTGCGGTGCAAGAAATGTGTTCTGAAGAAATTACTGAACCTTTTTATCTTTGGCATGAAACATGTTCCAATTGCCTTTTCACAGAGGGAAACCGTTTGTTGATAAACACTTTTCATTACCATAGTGAATTTGCAATGATTTTTTTTTGGAGGAGGAGAGTTTCTTGTAGCTCACATCAGTCCAATAACACTTAGCTTTGTTTCTCTTAACCTATAGAGGGCTTGCATGGGTGCCATCTTGCAGGCTAGTGCTTTTGTTCCTCACGGCATGCACAAAGGAGGCTTCCTTGTGGAACAAAAGAACTGCCCTCCATTAAAGTGATATTGAAGTTCTACTGATACCAAGACCCTCAAGATAAACTTGGCCTTTTAGCATTTTTTTATTCAAAGTGGGACATAAAAGGGATATTTTCTGAAAAGGAGCAACAGCGCTGGATAATTAAAGCCTTCATATGGAGGCGGTATCATAAAATAGGCTGTATACCTGCACTCAACAACCAAATAGTTATCCTGCGACCATTTTTGCATTTAAGTCTGAAATGGGCAAACAAAATGTGATCTGCATGCCGGGTTTTGACGCATTTAAATATGATCTCGAGAGGCCAGTCATCAAAGCAAACAGTTTTACCGGGCGGGTGAAAGAGATTTCTGAGTCCAAGGGCCCTCCCTATTGCTTGTCATCCAGAGAGTAATGTTTGCAGAACTCTGTAATGTCTCTGTTATCTTGCCTGGCGCTAGCCCCCTAGGGCATCTGAAATGAGCCACTGCTACCTCTCCTGGGAAATACATCCTCATGGACACAGCCTGGCCCTGCGGTGTACCCTTACTTGTTGTTAAGCTGATTTCCTCGGAAATGTAATGCGCCAGATCACTGGAGATGCTGAAAGAGAGTTCCATCTCCTTCTCCTTTGGGTGTGGAACAATCAGGGTTTTTTATTTGGCCAGGGAAAGATTATATTACGTTGACTGAAGAGATTTTGTGTCCGTGCCTAGGCTTGGTGAAGGAAGAAGTCTAGGTCAAAAGGTTGTAAGATGTCATACTGCCCTCTTCTCTTTTTGACAAACATTGGCAATTAAAAGGCAGAATACTTGGAATAGATATTAAAAAAATGGGCATACTATCTGTAACATATGAAACAGCACAAGCAGTTAGAAAGTTACTAATTTGAAATCCCCAAAAGTGCTTAGCGCTTTTAAAATGATATCCCTCCCCCATCCAAAAGTAATGTCATTCACAAGTGGTTAAAGTGCACTTTCATACCAAGCAGTGGACCAGTGCTGTGTTATTCATGAGGGACTTCTGTCCTCTAGGTCACTTGCATGATGTCACTAGCAGCGTTTTTTTCCCCAGATGACACCAGCTGGGCGGCACGTCAGCCGGACCAAACCAAATTAAGCCGGGGCTAACACAATTGTCATCCCTGGGCAACCTGCGCACAATGGTTTCCACTTCATCAAATTAACTCTTCAAAAGATTTGCCAACGGCTCTGCGCGATAAGTGAATTACCAAATCCGTAGTCCTGTCTTGGTTTTCACAGGGGCTCAGCAGATTTGTTAAATTGGCTAAGCCCCATGATGGGCTCATGTGAGAAAGTGCAGTAACCATGCCGTAGAGGTATAAAAAATAAATGGAGAAGCGTTGTTTGTGTTGGCATGTGTCCAAATGACATTTGAGCAAGAAGACGAGTTTTCAGCTGATTTTAATAAAATATAGGTCTTGAAATTTTAAACGTTGTGTTTGAAATTTGATGTACTAAAGGGAAATTGAAATCGGACTGTTCAGAATGAGAAATTGGCCTTTAAAGTTTCAGCGTGAAAATTTCTGTATGGAACTTTTGCAGATAATTTAAACAACCAGCAGTAAAATGACAAATTTTATCAAAATCGGTGAATATCATCTGTCTTTTTTAAGCTGTCCTCTCATTTCTAGTTGTTCCAAATTCTGACTAGTGTGAACATGATACCACATCGCATTGTAGTAATTTGGTCAATTTCTGCCACCAGGAGGTTACCATTTGAGGGCTTTGACAAAACTCAAAGCTGGTTGGTCTGTGAAATTGTTTGCCTTTGGTTTCTAGGGGTGAGATTCCTCCGGATTCTTCCGGATTTCTTGATGTTTCAAAAATCCAGTGTTGGTTTTGTGAATTTTTTTGGTTGGACACTTTTGGTGGAATATTTTGCAAGACAAGATTCATTAGAGACTTGGTAAAGTCTTGTACAGGCGATCAAAAAGTACACAAATATATATTACTCCCTCTGAAATACTCTGGTATGTACTTTGGGTACTTGGGGTAGTGGTAGTAAAAGTAATGGCAGAATGAGTATATTGTGTATTCCCACTTATTTACAGGAATTTGGCAGCAGGTCCAGAACATAAGTGTGAAACAAACCAGCAACACATGCCATGTGTTGTGCTCGTGTTATTGCAGCAGAGTATGGATTTCAGAAACATTTTCTGTTGGGCTGTTGTCTCATTTTCCACATTTCGCACGTTCATGTCTTAGTTCTTTTTCTTTTTCTTCAGGGAATGCCCATTGTCTTCAATATAGCTGTTGCTCTCTTGAAGGTAAGAAGTTATGGAATTAAGATGGAAAAAAAAGTTATTCTCCCCTGTTTTGGTGAGGGAGGTGGGGTACTTTCCCAATCTCCTATTCCAAACTCCAGGATGGTGAAATCACTCAACTTCTATACATGCTTCAAGCCGAAACTTCTGTCACCATGAAAAAAAATAATGTGTGACGTACATCTTCTGCACTTGTGGCATTCTTTAATTCAATTCCCATCAGGGCATTGTGTTAGAGGAAATGTGCCCCTTCCTGTGGGGGGGGTATCTATACACCTTCTGAGTAAGACTCAAGTGATTCTATTTAAAAAAAAAAAAAAGAAAGAAACCAAGTTGGAACTTGGAGAAAGGGTAGTCACATTTCTCGGCTGCAGCTGGGAGAAGACAGTTGTTTTTGTTGTTTCAATGTAAGCAATGGTGGAAGTTTAGCTGGTACATCTTCTGAATGGTGAGTGGACGGCGTACTTCTCCATGGTTTTGTTGTTTTGCCGGTTGAAATGTCTGGCAGCAAGGTTTTTTGAAGTGATGCCAAAAAGAGCATTGGTTTGTTTGGAAACCTTTGTGTAACAGTGTTGTATTGGAGTCCATCACAAGTCCTTTCACAAGTCCTTTCACAAGGCCAGTCATAAGTCCTTTCACAAGTCCATTCACAAGGCCAGTCATAAGTAACAGGGTGAGCAATAACCAAAGAATGCTTTTGTCACAGCTCATACATATGAATAGCTTGTGAATTGCCTTAAGACTGAACGACTTGTCATGGACTCAAGTATAACACGGGCATGTAAAAATTTTCATGATAAAGTGCCTGGTATTGCTGTGAAAGTTCACCATTTTCAGTTTTAAGCTGTGCATTTCCACAGTAAAATATACCCTGTATAAAAAAAAGGAAAAAAAAAAACTGAGAGGGCTAGTCATTCTGAGTATTCACCCAAGCAAGCAGGCAAAACCAATAGATCAAACTGTGTATCATTTTCAGTAGTCTTGACAGGTGCTTTATGACATCGTTGAAATATATGATAGTGATCTCATTCGCATACTTCTGCCCCAGGCTGCCAAGAAAGAATTACTAGGTCAGGACTTTGAGGGCGTCCTGAAGTACTTCCGCGTCACCCTGCCCAAGCGGTACCGCACCGAAGACAGCGCTCAGGAGCTCATGCAGTCGGCGCTTGGCACCAAGGTAAAGGGGCGGGGCGATAGGGATGAGGAAGGGGATGTTCCTGAGCCCTACGCCATCCTACATTGTCCAGACTACACATGGCTTGGTTGGTAGTTGAGAGGACATTAGCAGTTGTCTGTGGGAACCCAAAATGCTTGGACAGGTGAATGTTGCCACCAATCAGTTCACATTTTCCCAACAGTGGATTTCTTGGATGTGTGGCTTTTCTTCATCCCCGAATCGCAGCTTCTTGTCAGCACGATGGGTAGTCCCAGTGTTTTGTAGCAAGAGGTGCTGTGTAAGTCACTGTGGTCGTTTGTAATTTTCTGCCTTGCAGATCAGCAATCGTAAGCTGAAGAAGTATGAGAAGGAGTTTTATGCCATGAGGGAGGATGAGGATAGAGAGGACCCTCTGGAGAGGATTGAGGTAAGCTCCGCCCCTTGACCCTGCCCTCCTACCCCTCCCCATTGCCTCTTACCCAATCCTTTTGCATATTAAGTTCTGCCCCTTGACCCTGTTCTTTCCCCCTTCCATCTTACTCCTCATTTTGCATATGAAGCTCCACCTCTTGACCCTGCCCTCTAAACCCAACCGTCTTACCCATCATTTTGCATGTAAAGCTCCGCCTTGACCCTGCCCTCCTACCCCTCCCCATTGCTTCTTACCCCAACATTTTGCATATGGAGATCCGCCCCCTTGGCTCTGCCATCGTATCCATTCCCATTCCATCTTACCCTACAATTTTGCATAGTATTTCCATATTTTTCCCTATTGTCTAACAACATTTCCTCTCAAAATACTCAAACAGTCTGACTCTGAGAGAAAAATCACTGTTACTTTGCTGACAACACTAACCCTTCTTTTAATCCACTAACAGCGAGAGAACAAGCAGCTGATGCACGCCAACATCCGCTTGGAGCAGGAAAACGATGAACTAGCCAGGGAGTTGATAGTCCACAGACTTGCCATGGAGAAACAACTAGATAAGGTAGGCTCAGATCTCCCGTGATAAGAAACTCTCTCAAGCATCCTATTCAGAATGTAATCTCCATCCTCTTGGCTGCCAAATGTTCTTATGTTCGAATATCAATACAAACGCAAAGCTATGATAGGCCCTGACACCACGTTATAAAGTCAAATTGACTTGGTGACACAGCTCCTTGAAATCAGCCCGAGGAGTGACCTGTTTTCTGTCAGTGAAGATCAATCTGGTGATCTCCTACTTCTTGTGAAATTGAAAGCAGTTAATTGCATGCTAAAGCTTGGCAGGTGTATTGAGGAGGAAAAATGTTCTAAATTTTTAAAGCTGGAGTGCTAAATTTCTTACCCTGTCTGTAACAGGAGCGGGACAGGGCTGACGAGCTGGACCGCGACCTGAAAGCCATCAAGTTGCAGTTATTGGACACGGAGGAAGAGAATAAACACCTTGAGTCCGAAACGACGCAGGTAAAATAACAAGCTGAATCGGGTTGAATACGGCCATAGAACGCTTAGCACGAAAGCAAGCAGGAGAACAAATTTTGACGTCACAGCAACTGTCACGTACATGGCAACTTAGCAAAAGTTAAATGCGTTTCACCTGTTGCAGCTGTCACCGCAGGTGTTTCATGATGTCAAATTCTTATCCAACTCATTCTGTGCCTTTATGGGTGTTGGAAAAGTGTTAAATTCATTTGTCTCATTTTGATGTTTGATTTTGAAGTTACTGGGCTGCATCCAAATCTGTTGTCTAGAGGTAGGTCTAGGTCTTCGCTCCGTTGGAAATGTGCGGAGATGCGTAGACAATAGACCCAGCCTTAGCTCTGGGAGCCCATTTCGGACACGTCTCAGAATTGCATTGCAGTATCATCTTTGAGTCATTTGCTTGCCGCTTGCCTCCCCAGATCAAAGAAATGTACCGAACGGGCATGGAGAAATCAGAGCTTGATGCCAAACGGAATGCCACCATCATCGCCGACTACAAGCAGATTTGCTCGCAGCTGAGCGAGCGGCTGGAGAAACAGCAGACGGGGGCGAGGGAAGACATGTACCGGTTACGGGTAAGACACCAACAGCAGGCAGGAAGGCCAAGATGCTAGCTAGGTCCGTTCAGTGAAATGCACATTGTGTTGTTGACAATGACCCACTGAAAAAATGCTCATTGTAATTTAAATAAGTTGAAACTTGGTATGCACACAGGCAGTTCCTTGCTTTGTACGTTTGCAAAGTTTCAGCCCATTATGGTCATTAGTACTTCAGAGCACTATCAAAAAGTCTAAAACAATCCAAGAAAAAATAATGCATTAGTGATATATTATTGTAATGGGCAGACTCCGAGGTAGACAATTTTATGTTGTTTATTGGCTTCTTTGTGTGGTTGACAGCGTAAGCTACAGACTTGCGAGCACTGTGCCAATCTCATTGATGAAGACGGCAAACTCAACCAGTCAGCCAACCTGATCCAAGCAACCGAGGAGGAGGAACCGGAACCAGAACTTGCCGCTGCCGAACAACAGGTCAGTCCTAAGATCCATGGACTTGAGGGCGGGTATGTGTGGGGCGGGAGGGGGAATTTATGTGTGTTTTGTGTATGCATAGCTTTGCAACGTGAAATATTGCTTTACTAGAGCTTTCAACGAAGTTTGGTACTTGTATTATATCAACCAATCTGATGATGCTAGTGACAATTCCAGGGACTTCTGGTGGACAGATTGTTTAATCCTTTGACAATTCTGCGTACAAACGATACGCGCACTACCTACAGCAGCTTTATTTCCACTTGAAGGCCATGATTCATGTCTGTCCTGTTAACGCCCCCTAGATCCGAGAGCTAGAGTTGGAGCTAGCCCAGACCAAACTCCAGCTGGTGGAGTCGCAGTGCCAGGTGCAGGACCTGGAGCACAAGCTCAGCTCCTCCCTGTCAGAGCTCCACGCCGCCCGTAACAACAGCTGGCTGCAGAAGACCTTCTCCTCTCTGAAAGACGCCACCACAGCCGCCAAGAAGGAATGACGTCAGGGGAAAGGACAGCTCTGACCAGGATCCCAGCTTGCACTTGAGCTGATATGTGTGCAGAAAACTTGCTAAGTGTGGGAAACTCTCGCTTAATGAAAATGGGTTACCAGCTAAAATGCCATGTGGTGTATGTTGCTTACGACCAGCTCCCTTCCGACTTCTGTTTGGCACATAAATTTGTTTACAATTCTTGCCCATGTAGCTGCTTCTGTGACGTTTGGACTAAGTTGCCATTGCGTTTAGCTGTTAAGTGGCGAAAATGGCTTAGTGCCTTCAAGTTCATCTTAGTGGAAACTGGTTTCCGGTCGGAATCTCACAGTGTTCACTTATCCCCACTGAACAGTGCTAAGCATGCAAAATCGCATAGCTTTTTTTATCGTGCCATCCAAGTTTTATGAAGCCGCTAGGTAGAAAATGCCACTCAGCGATTTTTGGATGCTAAACAAAGATTGGCCAGGAACCAGTCACATTCAATATTAAACGCATGGTATTCTCACTGGTAACCTGTTTTGGCTGAGAATGTGGTTAACACTCCAGAAACTGGTCACATGTATAGAGCTATATTAAAATACAAGAGCTTGAACGTCCTGAGCACAGTCATTTGAATCCATGGATTTTGTTGAACATGATGAAATGAGACGAAGTAAGATGGAATGAAGTCAGAATTCCATCTTTATGGCCACAGGTTGTTTAATTGTATCCTCAACCTTTGTTTGACTGGGGACTTCCAAACTAAAAGTCACATTTGGGGAAATTCTACGAATGTATCCCAGAATGACCCTCCCCCTTCTTGATAGTGACTTGGTTGACGGGCTGTGCTGGTGTATTCTTAACGAGGAGGTTCATATGTGTGTGAAGTTAACGTTTTTTCAAGAGCCAAAGGTACGTTTACTGGCTTTGTGGTTTTTTTAGTAGAAAATGTAAGACAGATATGCTGAATGAAGTGGTATCAGTACGACAAATAATGAAGAGGCAGTTTTATCTGTGGAAGAAAAAACTTGTGTAGAAGGAATATTGTGGAGATTTTGGTAGCGTGGCCTGCCCAAGCATGCCCATCAGCTTTGCGCATTATCAGTAGAGGGCGCTAGACTCTTGCTTGCAGATGCCATTGCAAAACACAAGCAGGGACGAGAACTGTCCTTTTGACAAGATAGGTACTTTTGAAAAGTGGAAGATCTCCGGTTAGCAAATTCAGTGCAGTGATAGTCCTGTGTTCGGATATTTTGTGGCCAAAAAATAAGTTACAAAAGGGATTTTGTCCCCTAAAAATTGATCCTCAAGCCAAATACCTGATGAAGAGAAAGGGCAAAATACAAAAGCTTGTTTTACACTCAATGTTCGCATTTTATTTGGGTTTTCCTTGATGAAGTTTACTTAACATCTTCTGGCAGCTCATTCGCCACATGCATGAAAAGGATCATTCGAGCAAAGCTCATAACTTACGCTGTCTTGGTTTCTTAAAATTTCTTAAATCTCAGAATTAAGTGCAATCCTAATAATGCCTAGTGCATCTTTGTACCTTCTTTTCCTTTTTGTAAAAATCCTTTGAAAACAATTGGAAGAGCCTTACAGTATTGTTTTCGATGGTTCCTTGCATAACTTGTGCAACATTTCTGCCCTTTTGCATTATATAGAAAAGGCCATTGTGGATACTTGTATACAGAGGTGTTATGAAGTCAGGTGGAAATGTCTGTCGGTAGGGAATAGCTAACAGTGGTGTCAGTGTGGGCAAAAAAAATGTGCAGGTGAAGTTGAAGCTCCTGTTTGCTCCAAATCTTTGTACATATTGGAATCGCAGATTCAATATCTAACAACTGCCTCTATTTATGTTTATCAAGTTTGGACTTTGTTTTAATATTAAGCCTTGGGTTTCCTAGCCAGATAGTCTGAAGTTTGGGGCCTTTGGTTCCAAAGCCATTTTGTCAAACATAGATAGTGAGAATTGGGGACGCATACCCAAGGATTGTTACAACATGGAATCTTTCTTGAGATCTCTTGTGGGAATTATCAGCTGTCTGTGGACAGCTTCTTTGTTTATTTTGTCATAAATAATCTCTGTTAATCAGTTCCTGAGCTCAAGAATTATTGAGCCCAAGAAATACTACAGATCAGTTGAGAATTATCAAGAAGAAATGATTTTGGCCAAGAAGACTTATTGTTCCCGCAGCAAATGTGTATTAGCCATATTTGCACGAGAACCAGTTTATGGAGGCATGCTCCCACCATTGCACTTTTGGTTGGTAACCTATATCAGCTTGGTAAATTTCTCATGCTAAGCAGTTGGGGTTGATCCCTTACTGAGTTAGATGGTCACGCCAGATGTATTTGTATATATATCCTTATATATAGCCTGTGCAAATACGTGTTTAAGTATACTACAGTGGTTAAACTGTGTGTTAATGTTTTCTTGACATACTGCAGACTTCTCAACAGAAAGTATATGTTTTATTTATAGAACTGCCAACAATGAGTTGGAAATGACCGGGAGAATATAATTACTCAATATTTATGCGAGCATTCCCTGGACAAGAATAATGGTTTTCACGAAGGAAGCATATGCAGTTAGGACAGTATCCTCTTCGAGATAACTTTAAGCAGGAATGAAGGTCCAAGATCAGAGGGTTTTTTTCTGCCACACTCTCAGCTCTAACAACTTGCCTGTCTCAGCACAAAAGCTGGTTTTTATCTGAACTGACTGGGGCTGTCCCCCCGACCGTGGTTCATTTCCGGCATCACTTTTGTCTCAATTTGGACCCTAGAGCGTTTCTACTGAAGAAAATGGAGCTGTGGTGAGAGTAGCCCAAAGCTGAAGATGTAGTCGTTGATTTTTCCTTGCAACTCATTTCACTTAGAACCAAAAACGACTATATTAAAAGTTACAGAATTGCTGTTCAGGCGTATCACGTCAAATATTTGAAAACCCATGGCCAAGTTGTACATATTCCTAGGCCCTGTGTATGTATTTAATTTATGTTCCACCCATAGTCACTGTTTATGTAGCACTGACAGGCTTAGTTACGGACCGTAGAAACCTTACAACAGCGCTGAAAACAAGTGTAAAAAAGTGCATTGCGTAGAATTATATATCGCAGGAGAGATTATGTACTCGCAGTGTTGGGTTTTTTTTTGGTCGTTCGTTGTGTGAACAATATGTAGACCGGAAACGGATGTGACGACAGTTCTGCAGAGCTTGGCAGTGTGTATTTATGTTTCTGTACAGTTTTGTGTAATAATACCCAAAAAATGTCAATGCAATAAAAACAGAAATGGAAAGATTGCAAGATAGTGTAGACTGTTTGATGTGAATGTGTTGGGCTTTGGTCTAAACGAGAAAAGGCAGATTTACTTCATTTTCAGGGAGGTTGTGTTCAACTTCTTTTGCGTCTCTCCAATTTGTAGCCTGCATTTTAAAGACTTTTTATTATGGGGTCCTGTACACTTAAGTGGCTTTCAATTATGTTGGATAGAATCTCACCCCCCCCCCGGCACACACCCACACATATGGAACCATATGATGTAAGATATGGGGCGGAGAGAACCCCTCCCCCCGCCTTTGTTGGTCATTGTTTGATCGGAATCTCAGGAATTCTTTATAGACTTCTAGGAGGATGTGTTAGGTAACAATAGTCTAGAATGTGTATAAGGATTGGACGTGGGGGGGGGTACCCATCGGCCCCTATCGTGCACGGTATGCTCAAGTACAGGCAGGCCACGAGGGATATGTGAATTGCTCATAGCTCAGAAAATAACAGCAGTAATTAATTATTCGATTGATCCTCTTCACACTTCTGCCAACAGTTTGAAAAGACTTCAAAATGCATTGCATTCCTTAAAGTATTCAAATTCTGAGGAGCTTCCACGCCAGTATTGCCCGATTTTTTTCCAGACGACAACATCACAAATCTTGGCGGTTTCGTCACAGTCTTGTCATTTTGTGAATACTCGCTGGAACATTCTTTTGTTATGCAAATTATTGACTGTCAGAGTGTTAAAACCACGGCATCTAGTCTGGGACGGGAATTCTAGGATCTTCGGTACATTCGCACGTGGTTTTGAAGAGAAATAGTTGAGCACTCGTTATGCAGATATTTCGACTGCTGAAAGAGAATTGGAGCCCTACGGGGTGGAGCGATGAGCAGATGGTTGCTGTTTAGCAGGTTGGAAGAAAATGGCGTCTGTTTTCAGAGCTGTTCTGTGCCAAGCCGTGTGCACAAAGTCAGATTTCGGACCCATTAGGAGATAATAACTGCACAGATATAGGTGAGAAGACGTTCATCCCAGGGTTAGTGTAATTTTCCGCCTTTTTGAGTTACTGGTTTAGGTATAAATATCCCACTTATTAACTTTGTGGCAGGAGGCCTACTTCAAAATAATATGGTAGATACCTAATGTGGGATGTGCAACATGAAAGTTTATTGGAATTGCAATTACACTTAAAGAAATCCTTCACTTTTTTTGAAATTTTTAATTTGTTACAAGTTGTGCATTTGTCCAAAATTTGCAGCACACTACCAATGAAAGCCTCTCTTTTACATAGTTCGAAGAATTAGAGGAGTCATTTTTGGTGGACTTTGTTAAAAAATTTGAAACTTTTACTATATTTTGCAGTTGGATGCACATGCAGCCATTATAATAGGGTGTCTAGGACACCCAAGATGCTTTCTGCCCAAATCCTTCCAACTTCATCAATTTTGTTACTTTCTTTCTCTATAAAGCCCCTCACATTTTTGCTGAGGTCTTCTCTCCAAAATCCTTCAAGATTTCCCATTTCAGAGGGTCTTGTGGATTAGAGGGAGTCTTTGCATAATAGACGGGAAGATTGCTGAATTTCCTGGGACAAACTCTGTTTTGGACATTGCTGTTTTGAGTATCATAAACACCAAGTTTTTAATGTGTGTTCAATATTTCAGGATGATTTTTGACAATGAAAGGGGTTCAACACATTGGGAAACAGGTTTAAAACCTCAGGGTACATATGGTTTTTTTACACTCTGAAATTGTGATGGATTGATGTAGAATTCTTTCCATAGTTCCTTTGTTGCAGTTACTTTTCAGAGTAAGGAAATTGTTTCCAAGTCATGGGTGACTGCCTTAGCAACAGGCTGGTGGTGTTGGGCGTGGCCCTGTTTGCTGCCCTCAACCTGATTGCGGGGGCCATGATGGCATCGGTGGGGCTGGTGGCATTTCTCCGGATGCCGGACCTATTCACCACAGGCTGCATCATCTGGGCAGGATTTGTGGTGAGTCGAGACGGGAACTTACTCTGTTCCATACTTACCTCTGTGTCTCAGTAGTTTAGGAGCAGCACGTGGAAAGATGGAATAAAGAAAAGACAAAAAAGACTTTAAAATAGAAGAAAAGGAGAGACATGAAAGAGAAAAGAAGGAAAAGGGATGAAAATAACCACTTTGCTCGAAAATACCCTGGAATTGACCCCCCCCCAAAGCATTACCTTTCCCCTCCCAGGAGGAACCTTGCCCCCTACCTGGTGATGCCCCTTGCAATTCAGTTCTTGCCACATAGTGGATTTTTTGAGGATCCAGGAAAGTTTGGGTCAAACTTCTTAAGGTGGGTGTAATTGCGTATTTCTGTTATTTTTTGTCCACAAGGTTTTTCTTTGTGGTGCCCTGCTGCTTCTGATGTCCATCTGCAACAAGGACGTATCCCTGCACAAGGTAACAAAACACCAGTCTGTTTGGACAAATTGGTCACAGGTGAAGTCGGGTAAACATTCTTCTAGAAGTACTTGTAGTTGAGGCTGAGTTCCATACTAATGTGAACTTGTTCTTTTTTTGTGGGAAGGGGTTGAGAAGCTAGATGCAAGGAAAAATAATCTTGTTTTTAAAGCATAGCTGAAGTTGGGATACTTTTTTGTTAAATGAAATTTTCAGGGCAAATATACTCGTTCAAATCAGCTTCTTGTGGGGACGATTTTAGTTTGGTTTGGGGGGAGTTGTTACAAGATTATAAAAATGAGTTTAAGCTGTTCTACATCCGTGGAGCATAACTGTGAAAATTTTTACTTTCTGGACAATGAACAGCTTCTGAGGACTGCGAAGTTATTAAAGGAGAGAATCATTTCAATTTTGTATCCAATGTTGTATTCGAGTCCATCACAAGTCTATCCACAATTCCAGTCACAAGTCCCATCACAAGGCCAGTCATAAGTAACAGGGTGAAAAATGACAAAGGAATGCTTTTGTCACAGCTCATTTAAATAGCTCGTGAATTACCTTAAGATTGAATGACTTGTGATGGACTTGTGATGGACTTGAATACAAAAAACTGTTTGTTGTACCAATGCAGAGCTATGTGATGATGGTCCTGAGTCTGACTGTGCTCATTGTCAGTGTGGCCAATATCGTCCTGATTGAGATTGTGGAGTGGGAGGTAGTGCGAGGAAGGAAGACGTCCCAAGACACCGATGAGGACTTGCCGGATGCAGGCAACGATCTGACCATTTTCCTGAGTGAGTCATGGACATTCCTTCTAAGTCCTTCCCCCAATGCCTCTCCGTTTCTTTTCCTAGAAAACTTTGCTTTTTCAATGTAACATCTTTTCTCTCCCCTCAGCCTATCTTTTAGGGCTTCTGGGCAGTGTTATCGGCCTGGTTGCATCATTTTTAGGGACGGTGTACATCTACTTCACGCTGAGCGCCCCACTGTTGAAAGCCAAACGGAAGAGCCAGCCACAGTACGAGGTGAAGATGAAGAGGAGCTTCTTTGACAAGTGCAGGAAGAAACCACAGCGGAAATTCAATTTCAAGGTAAAATAAAATTGCGGGGGGGATTCTGTAGACTGTCACTGTCTCTGTCACAATTTCAAACATTTATGGCACTGTACATGGCCCTCGTCATGCCTGGGACGTCTTAGTATGTTTATGCTTGTGCCATTGTGTGAAAAGCCAAAAAAGTGAGGTCGAATGTGGTATCAAACGAGATTTAAACCTTCATGCCGTTATAAGAAAATACCTTTTTGCAGGTTTTGTGATAATTCCTAATTACATGTATCAAGGTATGCATCTCGTTTATGTTTTTTTTCTTGGACGGTATAGATAGCCAAAGAAATACTTCGGGAAAAATTTGGTGATTGAAAGCTCATACCGACTGATGTGGTGGGATGGGAGCCTGGGTCACAGAAGTGAAAACTGAGCACCACCATGGACGAACTGAACTTTTCATTAAATCCCGTGCCATGTCTACGTTTTATATCTGAGAAAAATTACTTGAGCAAGAGTAAAACAAAGTACCATTCTAATTTATACTTCATCATCATGACAGTGTAATATTAAAAAGTTTCTTTTGGGCTGGTCTATTAGCTGACTCCGCCTCCAGAGAGCCAGCGTCCCCCGGCAGTCAAACGAGGCGAAGAGGAGGCTGATCTTTACCATGTCCGGTGGGTGTACGAGGACCAGGGAGAGGGACTGAGAATGGCCACAGACAGGACAGTTGCTGGACCAGGGGAGCAACAGGCTATGGACAACAGGGTAGGTGCCCCAAGTGGGTAGCAGCAATGGGCGTCGGTAGCTGTAACTGGTTTCAAAATATTCCTCCAATTGTTTATATCATTTGGTTGCTCAGTTTCTGTTAGTGAAGAATCTGTAGAAATTAAATTTAATTGAGTCTAATACCTGAACGAAGTTGAGCAAAATGTGTTCAATCGATACCAATGTATAGGCACTCATGGACGAAATCAGAGAGAAAGTGGGGGCCCGTCGACTGCCCAGTACGTCGCTGGATGTCACAGCACAGGTGACTGCCAGCACCGATGCTCATCCGGACGGCATCATTCAGGACAGCTCCACAGTAGACGAGGTAGTCCTCCGACAAATCGGCCAGCTTCCAGCTAATGCTCGGAGCAGTTTTCGTAGGTGCACATTTGACAACGTGTCAGACTCTAAGGTCATGTCTACACACATGTAACAAGCATAATTTTTCCTGAATGTACAGCACTTTGTGAATTAAACATTGGTTTCTTGGCATTACAAATGACATCTATGTTTTTTAAGACTTTTTCAATTAAGTATCAAATTTTGAGGATCATTTAAACAGTTGAAAACACAAGAATTTTATCTTTATGGAGAGACATCAGCTTGTTTTTTGGAGTAGCAGTTGTGAAATCGTTATTGTATTAAAATAATACCAAAACTGCAATAAGTGGAAAGAGCCCGACTTTTTGATCTTGGAAAAATTGTTCTGAAAGGCAAAAAAGAGAATATTATAAGTAAAAAAGATGAAAAGTGATAGTACACATCTGACTCAGTTGACGTTTTGTTGGGAATACGTCATTAATCTGACAGTTTGTTAACCCTACGTTTGATGTATATGTTTTATAGCTTTAATATTACTTGCGTAAGAATTAAGCTTGTTCCAATCATTTATAGATTTGTTTATGTACATAAATATTCAAAATTCACAAAAACGTAAGCTATGCAATCCCTGTTTTGATGCATATGTAGGATGTGTTTATGTAGAATATATTTGTAATTGCTGAATTAAGGGAGTTGTTGACAAACCACTAATGTTTGACATTTTAGTCTTAATTGCACTGAAGTTTGGTGTAAAACAGAAGTAGGATATCTTTTTTCTTTCGTTATTAGTGGAATGTTTGCTAGAAAGGTTAGTGCAGTAAACCAAGTCATCAAGTTTTACCTCCCCCCAAAATATTATACTTTTGCATTTTAAATTTTAGACATACACAGTTGGTTTGGCGAAAAAATCAGAATAGTTGGAGATTAAAATTAAATATGAATTAAATTAAAACAAAAGGGTAATTGGATTTCAATGATGATTTAATTTGGTCACAAAAGTATAACTTTGCATTTCAGAGTCAAATTGGTTGGCACTGAGAATATAAATCAAAACGATTTGCAAGGTGTGAAAAAAATTGGATTTGGAATAAAATATGCACCGACAAAAATTGCGAGGGATAAACTTTTGGATTTTTATCAGGAAGAAAAATTAGCTCTTTCATTGTCCGCAAAGTCTAGTAAAGGTTTAACAAGTTGTAAAACCTAGATTGGTAATGCAATTTTAATGCATCGGAAGGGGTGAACTTTGATTTTCGAATTAAAACACATTCCAAAGTACAAGAAAGTACCCTTGCCCTTTCAATTATATTTCGATACAAATTTTAATTTTCTTTAAACCACTGAATGAAAAAAACAACTTTTGATCACCTACGAGGAATGTGGATCTCATTTTCAATAGAATTTCAAAGTCGACATTTTGAACAAAATCTGCAATGGGTGCCTTGCAAAATAATAGTATGGCCAAAAGTTGACTTTTTTTTAACGCACAAAAGTAATTTTTGAATGAAATGAAATAAATTTAGGCATCATTGAGGCATCCAGATCTCATTTGTGGGGGGCAAAATCAAGAGGCGGAAAAAAATCTTTAAAAAAAATCTTGCAACGCAACTGGATTTTGGACACAATTCGGCCTTTTCTCCAAATCACTTGGAAATAATTTTGGAATAATAAAGTTCATTTCGATCATCTGAGATGCACGTAGGTCTCATCAATTTGAATGAAATCTCAGGAGTCAAATTACGCAATATTACAGTGTGAGGGTTAATTTGATTTGAAAACGTTAACAGATGTTTATGAAATTTCAATTACACAGCAAGACTAACCCCTTGCATTTTTTTTAAACATTTGATGAAAATTTTATCTCGAAATACATTTTTTAGCTCCTTTAGAAGAAAGCCACTTTTGTTGAAATTGTAATTACATTGCAAGGCTAAATAAAACCCCTTGAAGGTTTTCAAGGTTTGATGATGAGTTCAAAATGGTCATAACCGCATCAAAATTATCTAGAAGTGTCAGAAAACATGAAATTCATCTCAAAATACCTTTCTGAGCTCTTTTAGAAAAATTCCAGTTTTTACAAAATTTTAATCTAAATGCAAGGCTAAATCCTTGTAGTTTTTAATTTAGGGTGACAGTTTTAAAATGGTCTAAATTGCCTAAAGGTTACCTAGAACTGGCAAAAAAATTGACCTTCATCTCGAAATACATTTCTGAGATCTTTCAGAAAAAAATTCATTTTTTTTGGACAAGATTTCAATTAAATTGTAAGGCTAACCCCTCGTAGTTTATTAAATTTTTGTTGAAAGTCTTTAAATTGTCATAATTGCATCAAAATTATCTCGAAGTGTCAGAAATCCTGAAATTTATCTTGGAATAGCATCGTCTACATGAACATCAGTCTGGTTTGGACTACATCAGACAGGTGTGCCCCGCTCAGATTATAGAAATTATTTTGTGTGTGTAGTTTGTACCAACTACTGTCAATGACACTATTAATTGTTTGCCCATCCGTTGCTTTCTCTACCAAACAAACAAACAAACAAACAAACAAACAAACAAACAAACCAACAAACAAACAAACAAACAAACAAACAAACAAACAAACAAACACCCCAACACCCCAACAAACAAACAAACACCCCAACACCCCAACAAACAAAC